AAGAAGGGGATTTGGAGGGGCACAAATATCCCTGTTTTCCATGGAAGTCCCACACAGTGTCTCCCCAGCACCCAACAGTCTTCAGAACCTGGTAGCTTCTCCCCTCTGCACTCCTTCCCCTGGACCACTGCTCCCTATCAGCCAGCCTTCTTCTCTTGGACCGAACTTTAGGGGAGGATTCTGACTTGGACCATCTGGTGCCATGGTGATGTTTCTTACTGGGTCAGAAAACATCACAAAAGCCTTAAAGACGTGTGGACCCTCCTCAGGATTTATCTTCAGAAAATAATTATTGATCTGAGCAAAGATTTAGCTACAAGAATGAGCATCACAGCATTATTTAAAATGCTGGAAAATTGGCCCCGACTGATGTAGCTCAGGGGATTGAGTGCCGGCCTGCGAACCAAAGGGTCACTGGTTCAATTCCCAGTCAGGGCATGTGCCTGGGTTGTGGGGCAGGTCCCCAGTTGGGGGCATGCAAGAGGCAACCACACATTGATGTTTCTCTCTCTCTCCTTCCCTTCCCCTCTAAAGATAAAGAAATAAAATCTTTAAAAAAAGACAAAGAAACTGTAGTGAATCAGCACAATGGAATACCAGGCAAACCCTGAAAATGATGCAGAGGGTGATTGGATGCTGTGGGAATATTTTCACAAAAAATTAGATCGTAAGATACTGTGTGCTGTGTAATACACTTTTTCTTTTTAATTTAATTTAATTGAATTATTTATTTTTAGAGAGAGGGGAAGGGAAAGAGAAAGGGAAGGAGAGAAACATCCGTGTGTGGTTGCCTCTTGCACATCCCCCACCAGGGACCTGGCCCCCAGGCATGTACCCTGACTGGGAATCGAACCAGTGACCCTTTGGTTCACAGGCTGGCACTCAATCCACTGAGTCACACCAGCCAGGGCTAATACAGTTTTTTTTTTAATATGAGTATGGAAAAAAATTAGAAGAGTATTTACCCAATTATTAATAATTGTTCTTATTGGATTATAGATTTAGAAGTGATTTTATTTTTTTCTTTGTAGTACTCAGATTCCCCCCACCCACTTTTAGAATTTCTACATTAAGAATCTGTGACTTTTTATAGTGGGGAAAAAATCATTTATCAAATGTTTTAAAAAACCATTTGTGGAGATGATGAGAATTAACTGTAAATAGGCATTATATTGGCATGACAAAATGTTTTAAAACTAGATTATGTGATGGTTGTATGACTTGGTAAATTTAATAAAGAATGTTGAATTGCAAACTCAAAATGGGTAAATTTTATGTTATGTAAATTATACCTAAAGTTGTCTAAAAACTCTTAGCAAAAGCCATTTCCTGGGCTGCCTGCTGTTAGTCAGCCTTCAGCCCGATCTCAGGGTCTGGGGGGGGTCGGGATGGCAGACAAAATACAGATACACACTAACATTTGATTTGCAGGTAAGGAGTAACTTTTAATGTGAGTAAAGAATAAATAATATGAGCTTAAAAAGTCATGAACTCTGGAACTGTCCCCACGGATGTGCCATAGACCCTACTGGTTAAGGGCGACAAAATGTGCGTCCCAGACACGTGAACCGAGGACTTCCTGTCTGGGTGTCCTGGGCCCTTAAAGAATTCCCAGAACAAAGAGGACATGGTTACGTGGTTGCCTCTGTCTGTTTGGGGGAGACCCCTCAAATTTGTGGGGAGACCTCCTCTGGCACTGCGTCCAGGGAGCCAGCCTGGGTTCGGCCCTGGCCCGGCCACTTACTCACTGTTTAACCTTCCTGGACCTCCGCCTCCTTATAAATTGGAGCACATGATATCTACGTAGTAGAACTGTGCAAACGACAATATGTGTGATAGCGCCTTTCAGAAAGAAGGTGCTTAACAAATGTTTGTGCAGAAAGGTGAACAAAACGTCAGCCGAGGACGACTTGCTGGAAGAAAAGCAGCAGGCCGATTGATTTTCCAGCGGCTCTAGTCCAGGCCCCTCCCTGTAATCACACTGCATCTTGTTCTCTATTGTCTCGACCTCAGGGCCAAGATGCCCTTCAAGAACCACACAGTACAGCCCTGCAGTGACGGGAAGAGGAGGCACTGAGGCTCAGAGGAGGGAAATGACTTGCCTGAGCTTCTAAAGCCTGTGTCTCCCTGGGTCCCTCCTCCCCCGCTGCTCCACCCTGCTTCTTGGGGCTCTGTCGGTTTTATAGGGTTACAATCTCCCAGAAGCCAGGCGCGTTTGCACCCCCTGTCCCCTCCCTGTGTGCATGTTCTGCTCAGAAAAGACACTCTGAAAGGACCTACGGACATGAGGGACGTGACTGGCCATAGCTGTGCTTGCTCGCCCTGCTGTGTTCATGTGGCCTGGACCCCTCGGCAGGTGGGCAGGAGTCCTGTCTGGCCCGGGAAGTCCTGGGCCTCAGTCCCAGGGCCCGGCAGGGAGGCGGGGCAGAGAAGAGGCTCCCTCTTCCGTTACCCCCCCCCCCACCTCCTGCTCTTCTTGCTGCCGGATGGGTGAGGGGCTGCAGGTGGCCCACTCCGTGTCCTCGAGGGGAGCCGAGCTGAGAAGCTTTGTCCTGGGGTCCCGCCTCTCTCCCTGGCCTTCTGGTCACCTGCTGTCCTTTAGGAGGTAGCTGGCTGCTATGAGGGGCTCTTGGTTGATGGGGGACTGTAGACCAGGGGACTGGCAGATTTCTTCTCTCTCTCCCCCCCTTTTTAGGCACCGAGAAAAATGGTGGTAGCTGAACCCAGGAAAGTTCTTCTTTAATGATTTCCTTTTTAAGAGAGAGGGGAGAGGAGTGGGGAGAGAAACATTGGTGTGAAACTGATTTCCTCTCGCATGCGCCTCAGCTGGGGACTGAACCTGCAACCCAGGCACTTCCCTGACTGCGATGGAACCTCTGCCCTTTCGGTTTATGGGACAACATTCCCACCAACTGAGCCACACTGGCCAAGGACAGAACTGCCTTCGTTTTTAAAGAAACTCACAGATTGTTCTAGAAGCTATGGTGCTGGTTTTCCTCAAAGGTTGACCATTGCTGAGGGTAAAGACAGTAGCCGGCCCTCAACCTCTGAGCCGGAATGCAGGGGCTCAGAGGCCTGGGAAGGCACAGAAGGGTCCAGGCTCAGGGAAGGCTGTCAGGCGGGGGTGGACTGAGGCCCTGCTCTCCTGTCAGGCCCTCCGTTTTTTGGTTTTGTTTGTTTAAATTTTATTTAGTTAGCCCTGGCTGGCATAGCTCAGTGGATTGAACGCAGGCCTACAAACCACATGATTGCGGTTCGATTCCCAGTCGGGGCACATGCCTGAGTTGCAGGCCAGTTCCCGGCAGGGGACTCATGAGAGGCAACCACACACTGATGTTTCTCTCCTCTCCTTCCCTTCTTCTCTAAAGATAAATAAATAAATAAATAAATAAATAAACAAATAAATAAAGAAATTTTATTTAGTTATTTTTCAAGTACAGTTTTCTGTCTATTTCTCCCATCCCAGCCTACCCCACCCTGTGCTCCCCACCTCCCTCCCATTTCCACCCCCCTTAGTTCTCGTCCCTGTGTCCTTATACTTGTTCCTCTAAATCCCTCCCCCTTTTTTCCCCTTAAATTCCCTTCCCTCTCCCCTCTGGTCGCTGTCCCCTTGTTCTCTATTTCAGTGTCTTTGTTTTTATTTTGCTTGCTTGTTTGTTTTGTTGTTTAGCTTCCTGTTAAAGGTGAGATCATATGGTATTTGTCTTTTAACACCTGGCCTATTTCACTCAGCATAATGCTTTCCAGTTCCATCCATGTTGTTGCAAAGGGTAGTAGCTCCTTCTTTCTCTCTGCTGCATAGAATTCCATTGTGTATATATACCACAATTTTTCGATCCATTCATTTACTGTCGGGCACCTAGGTTGCTTCCAACTCTTGGCTATTGTAAATTGTGCTGCTATGAACACTGTGGTGCAGACCCTCCGTTTTTCGTTTTTTATTGATTTATTGAGCTACAACTCTCGAATTGTTAGTTATCAGAGCTAGAAAAATTTTCAGAAGTTATCCATCCGATCACACCTCTTTATAGAGGAGGAAGATGAAACCCAGAGGGGTGGAGACTTGCCTAGGAACCTGTTCGTTGTCTTCTCCCAAACATCTCGGTCAGTCAACAGTAACTCTGCTGGATGGTGGCCCGGAAGCAGTTTTCTTCTGTCCTAAGCACAGAGGAGAAGGGGGCAAGGAGGAAGGGGGGAGAGGGAGGGGAGGAGAAAACAGTTTTGCTACCCTTCCTTCTCTTCACCCGCGGGACCGTCCAGAACTGTCTCCAGCCAGAAGGAAGGAAATCCCATCCAGCCCTCTCATTCTACAGGTGCACAAAAGGCCCAGAGAGAGGAAGGCACTTGTCCAAGGTCACGCAGGGATGCCTGGGCCAAATTCGGGCATCCTGAGTTATACTCTGCATAACTCAGTTCTCGAAGACATGCCTTTGCTTTGGGCCTTGGGCACATGAGTTGTTTGCCCTGAAATAAACTCTTTTCTGGCTCTTGAGCACATTGTAAGAAGCCTAAGGGCAGGACTGGACCTTAACGCATCTTGAAGAAATCAAGACCCAGCTTAGACTTTGAATCCTAGTATTATGCTGGATGTGGTCACATCTGCCCTCCCATTGATTGGGAATTCATGAGTGTCAGAAGTGAAAGGGACCTCAGAGACTGGAAGTCTGAGTCCTGTTTCCCAGATGAAGACACCAAGTTCCAGAGAGGAAATGACTCATCAAACAAGACACTGGGTTGTGGCTGATCCCAAGACCCAGGTTTTCTCATGCCCTGCCCTGTTTTCTTCATTCATTCATTCATTCATTCATTCATTGCAGTCCCCACAGTACCTAGCGTTGTACTGGCCTCATAACTTTTCTTTCTTTCTATTTTGTAGCAATATTAACGACCATTTATTGTTATGCCTGGTTTTGTGCTAAGTATTGTGGGTTTTTTTGTGCTTTGTCATGCAGCTCTCACCACAGACTTATAAAGGAAGTTCTATTATCCCTATTCTACAGGTATGCAAATGGAGGCACCTGAGATGACATAATTTAACAAAACTGCACAGGTAAGAAGTGGCATCAGCAGACTCCAACATACGGTATCATGCTTCACCCAAGACTCTCAGAGCCCATTGTTCTCCCCCAAGTGCCACCATCCCTACAGCCAACCAACCCTGCACCCGCCTGAGCTGATGCAGACGTCAGGACACCTCCAGACCTGGACCTCTAACCCCTCCTCTAGACTTGGAGCTCACAGGTACATCCTCAACAGTGGTGTCCCTACACCGAGCCGCAGCCTCCAGCTGGCTCCATAACTGTTCAGTTTGCCCAATAAATTCTTGCTGAAGGAAACAGGAACAAGGTGCCTTATGTACAAGTTGCCCTTGGTAACTGTAAAAGCTTTCAAGAATGTTTATTTCCTTTCATAGATATCTAGTGAACGCTTATTACTTGGGTTTATCAGCCCACTTCTTCCTCGTTCTGCATTATTTTCAGCCCGAGGCTGTATGTAAGCAGAACTGGGCGGTTTCCATCCCAGGTACTCCTTGGAGGCCAGCAGGACCACTTAAGTATTGGCCCACCAGCGACCAGTAATGTGGTCGCTGCACCACTTTGGCCAGAGCATCCTGGAGCTTCTGGAATCCTGCCTGTGGATCTGAGGGTTTCCACCCCAGGAGAAATTCTGGGAGAGAGTTTGAAGGTGAGGGAGGACTCGTCGGAACTGGGTACCCTGTCTGTTCCCCAGGTAATGCTAACTTTGGAGGGCAAAGACCCGGGGTCAGTGAGAGGGGGTGTGGAGGAGACGGAAGTTAACTGTCAGTACAGCAGTGTCCACGGAGCAGAGAGGAATATGGCTCTCCGTCCTGTTCCCAGTACTGGCCAGGACACATCTCATGATTCCAGGCAAGAGTAGCAGCTCCCAGAGCCCTGAACAGCACTGCTCACCACTCCTCATCATCCTCACCAGCCTGGATGCCTCCTTCTCAATGTCCAACAGCGCTAGCGGCCAACCTGCCAGGTTCAATGCCTGGCTCTCCTCCACCACTGATTTTCTTTTACCAAGAAGCCAAATTCACCAGTGGGCCCCAGAGGCAGAAGTTCTACATGGGGAAACTGAGGCAGTGGTTAACCAGACAGTCCCCTGACCCCTGTTTCCATGGTGAATGGTTCTGCCAAGGGCTTACTGTACGGACTCATAATGGAAGACATTTTATTCTCTGCGAGGAACTTTTAAGTTCCTAAAAGCCAGATTCATGTCCATACTCCCAGCACCTACTACAGATGCTCAAGAAAGATGTAGAATGAATGTGGAATTATTTAACCCCCATGTACCTGGGAAGGGGAAATCTGAGGGCTCATCAGGGCCTCATATGGACATTCTATTAACCTTTAAGACATTTGACCACTGGGGCCCAGGGTGATAATCACAGGGACTTCCAGAGAAGAGGGCTCCGCCAGCCTCTGTTCCTAGTGTTTGGGGGACAGAGAGACCTGGGTTTGAATCCCTGTTTTTGCTTACATGAACTCAGTACTTTTGGGCAAGTTATTCAGTTCCTATGGGATGGGAAGTGCCTAGTGGAGGTGTTCCATGAGACAGTTTTTGACATATTGTCATACCAGATGGAGAGAATCTTTACTCATGTTCTGAGATCTCAAGAGAAGAAATTCTAGTCTTCAGTATCCGCAAGCCTTCACTGAGTACCTGCTAGGTGTGAAGTGAAGTGCTAGGTGCTGGAAAAGCAGCAAGAAATATGATCTTATCTCTTTTCTCAGGTGGCTCATACTCTGCTTGAGGAGGCAAAACATAAGCACTGAAAAGCAAAATCCCAACCCAACGCAACCAACAACAAGAGAAAACATAGGTTCTATAAAAGTAGCAGCAAATGGGTGGTACCTCGCTATAGGACAGAGGCGGGGGGACCCTTGTCTTGGAAGGACATGGGATAACTTTGTCCGGGCAGGCTTTCTGCTCAGAATTCATTGTCCCGTCAAAAAGTGCTTACTCTGGCTTAATATTTTAACACTCATTCATTTCATTTAATAAATATTCATTGTCTTTTTCTTCCCAGGTACTGTGTTGGGTGGAAACGTGTGGTTTCTGCACTCAAGAAGCTTACAGAGCCCTGGCTGGTGTGGCTCAGTGGATTGAGCACTAGCTTGCAAACCTGGGTTGACTGTTTGATTCAGTCAAGGCACATGCCTCGGTTGCAGCCCAGGTCCCTAGTAGGGGGTTTGTGCAAGAGGCAACCACACATTGAGGTTTCCCTCTCTTTCGCCTTCCCTTTCCCTCTCTAAAATAATAAATAAGTAAGTAAAATCTTTTTTTTCTTTAAAAAGAAACTTACAGAGATCGACACTGAACCATAAATAGTAAATGTAAATTTGTATATTTACAAATTGTTATCAGGATCAATAAAAGCATATATAAAGTAATTTCTGGAAATAGGGTTCAGGAATAAACATTTTGAACAAACTCCTGAGGTCATTTGTAAGAAACTTAAAGTTTGAAAACCACTTTTCTGGGCCAGATACAGATTTCAGTGAGAAAATGGGGAAGGTTTTTAATTCTCTCTTGATTAGCTTTGTATTCTAAAAAAGGTCACTCTGGCTTGGGGAGAAGGCTAGGATGGATGCAGGGAGGGGACTAATTGGGGAGGCAGATAGAGTATCTCTGGTGAGGGGTAATTTGGCTTAGTAGGAGGGGTGGGGCTGGAGATTTGTCAGTGGGAACTGATTTATGAGATACTTTGTAGAACGAACCTTTTTTATTTATACCAGAAACGTTTATGTATGTCATTCACTTTTTCTGATTAGGTAAGTAATACATGACAGTTGCAAAATTTCTGACAGGAAAAGATAAAGAAGAAAAACAAAGGTAAATATTTGGGTATTTATTTTTCTGGCTTTTTCAATACACGCATACTCAGACCCATGGATCTAGTTTGTTGTTTACTGCAGTGGAGGAGGAATTCTGTAGTACTTGTTTGATTCTTGATTTTCAAGAAAGCAATAAAGCATAAGCATCTTTTCGGGTGAATATAGAGGGTATCATTTTAAATATCTGGCTGGCATTCCACTGAGTAAGTGTGCCCGATTATTTGCCAATATCCTACTGATGGATACTTAAGTTGTTTCTAACTTTTCACATCATTATAAATAATCTCTTTCCTTCCACACTCATTTCTTTTTAAAAAAACATATTTATTTTTAGACAGAGGGGAAGGGAGGGAGAGAGAGGGAGAGAAACATCATTGTGTGGTTGCCTCTCACACACCCACCATGGGACCTGCCCGCAACCCAGGCATGTGCCTAATTGGGAATTGAACCTGCGATCCTTTGGTAGGCTGGTGCTCAATCCACTGAGCAACACCAGCCGGGGTCCATACTCATTTTTGAACACATAAATGTTTATTTCCTTAGAATAAATTCTTGTTAGTGGGATTACTGGATCATTGACGAATTGTCCAGATGTAATCACACATACACTGCGTCCTAAGGGGGGTTGTAGAGGAGAGGACACCAAAGTCGGAGACCGGAAGTCCTCCTTTTGAAGGCCTTGGATTGTTACAACCATACTCTGGCTTTTCCCAAACTTTTAATTCCCTGACACGGAGGTGATCTGTGCGGTCCGAGCTCAAGACCTGTCCCAGCTATCCACCCCCAGCCTGGCATCTAGGCTTGGGGCTCTGCAGCCCTCCCAGCCCTTAGGAATCCGTCCTCCTGTTCCCCTCCCCCACCGCGGCAGGGCGTGTTAGGAAGACGCTCAAGCAGGCGAGGATTGCACCACTACGGTTAGAAAAGGAAGTCGAGGAAACGCGGGGAGGAAAATCGAACGTCCCGAAGGCTGAGCCCCGGCAGCCAGACCAAACCGCCTCCAGCCCTCCTACCAGCACTATCCGCTGGGCTCGTACTCCTTGCCTTCCACCCCCTCCCCTGCCCAGCCCTTTGCTGGGTACCAGCCCTTTAAGAAGCTGTCAGGGTGGCGCTGCTGGCCCCGCCCCGCAGGGAGGGCCTCGAGGGAGAGGAGGGGTTGGTGGTGGCTGAGGCGGAGTGGGGGCGGGGGCTCTGAGTCTATTTTTAGCTCCGGGTTGGGTCACGTGACGGGAGTGACGTCTCCGAATGTTGTTGTTGGTGGCGGCGGCGAGCGGAGCCGGAGGAGCCGCCGCAAAGATGGAGGAGCCGTCGGGGAGGCGCTGCCGCTGCTGCCGCCGCCGCTGCTGTCGCCGCCCCCCGCGAAGCCGGAGCTCGAGCCACAGGGGGTGAGCGCACCCCACTACCCCGTATCCCACCTCCCTCGGGCCCCTGGGACGCGAGGCGGCGCACCCTCCTGCCGCGGCTGCTTGCGGGCGCCGAGCGCGCGCTCTGTGCCCCGCGCCCCCCTTCCTTCAGGCTCCCGGTGCCGGCCGGCGACCCGCGGGAGAATCGCCAAGCTCGGTAGCCAGGCCTCGGGGTTACTGCGTGCGCCCCTCCCCTCTCCTCACTTGCAGGGGCGCCTTCCTGCAGGTAAGGGAGGGGCCCGCTTTCCCGGGACCCGCACTCCCAAATGGCTGGGACAGAGCCGGGGCTGTCTGATTTGTCCCCTCCCGAGTGGCGCATGTTGCGTTGCAGACAGATTTGAACCCTGCACCCAGATTCTATGCAGACTCTTCTTCTCAGGACAGCCCTTTCTTGGTACTCTGAGATGAGGGGCGCTGCCCACTCCACAGCGCTTCCACCCATAGCTAAGGACGCATTTTTCATTTTGTGTCCTGAGAGTCGTGCCTGAGGAGGGGACCTGCGGGCTCACCTTACTTCTCCCATTATTCTCATCCCCTCCCCCGTGAGGTGTTATTGCGTTTGTTCCCACCCTCTTCTCCCGTCTGACACCCTGGAGCCAGAAAGAGAGAGAGAGAGAGAAAGAGAAAGCGAGCGAGCTAGGAGATGCAAGTTCCCCGCTTCTTGTCTCGGGTAGATGCCCCCCATTTTTCATCCTGGGTCTGCATCTCATGGAGGCGGTAATGCTGCCTGTGTCTTTTAACTGGGGGTAGGCTGCTTCCCTACCCCACCCTTCTCTGGGGCCCTGGGGAAATGAGAACTGGCTAGATGATAAGTAATTAATATGGGAGTCTGGTTGGTGGGGGGAGAGAAGAAGGGAGGGTGGGGGTGCCCCATTTTGGGGAGTAGGTGACCATCTACCCCCACTGTTGGCCTTTGGAGGTGATGTGATGGGTAGCAGTTGCATTTGCTTTTGGGTGGCGATGCTCAAGAGACTGACAGTGCCCACTTTTCTTCTAGGGCTTGGCGTTAGGTTTGGCAATTGGTGTTGGTGATGGTGGTGATTGGCTTGAAGGTCCAACTGGGAGGCGAGGATGGAGCCAGATCGTAGGAACAAAAGGAGGCAGTGGGTGGGAGATTCAGGAGTCTTGGCCAGAGGGACTCCTGACCAGACTGCCTTGCAGGACTTGAACTAGGGGCTGGAACTTGCCCTAGGCCTCTTCAGGTTCACAGGAGATAGGCAGGCAGGGTCCTCAGTCTGTGTTCCAGGCACCAGCCCCCCCCCCCCCAGCCTGTGTTAGCTGTTGAGATGCTGGGCTGGGGTTGGTGGGTGAGCCATGTTGGGGGCTGCCTGCTTCTCCAGTCTTCCCTCCTCCTTCTCACTTGGGGAGATCGTGGTTTTCTCCAGCCCCTTCTCTTGAACCCTCTCTTTGCTCTGTCCCCCTTGGACTTGGATTTGGGCTATGTCTTGACAGCCAGGCAGGGGTATCTCTGGCTTAGAGGGGGAGCCCCCAGTGTCTCCACTCCATCTTGGAAATGTATGCTTGCCAGGGACCAGAGAGATAGACACCAGGTGAAAGTTACTTGGGGGCAAGGATGGAGGACATGTTAGTTCTGTGCCGGTTTTCCCTTCCCCTCCAACATTTCCTTCTCTGTGGCTGGATCTCATAATTTGGAGGGAGTTAGGGGGGGTGCAGCAGTATCACACACCCCACTCCCTCCAAGTGGCTGCAGAAACAAAGGTTTGCTTTCCCTTCTCTAGGGGTGGCATCTTAGCTGTGTGTTTAGAAATGGGGCCTGGGGATGGGGAGGTAGTTTGTGTTTCTGCATAAGGGGGGGCGGGGGACCAGCTATAGGAGCTGGGGGGAGTACAGTCGGTGCTGAAGTACCAGCTGCTCTTTAATAATTAATTCTTCCTACTCACATCCCTTTGAGGAGGGATGTCTGGAACACGGCATCGGGCTCAGCCAGCCTGCTAGAGGACGCACTCCTGTTGGTGGGGGGGTTGGGGAGAGACTGCAAGGGGGGGGCGGTTCTTGGCATTTTTGGAGCACTGTCTCTTGCTCATGAATGAAAACCTGATGCAGCCTGTGAGGGGGCCTATTGTAGCCTGTAGCTGACTTTGGCTAATTAAACTTTCTCTGCCTTTCTTCTTCCCCACCCCACCTCACCCCAGTCCTGGCCTCAGCCCTCTCTTGAATGGGGACCCTGTCTGGTAGTGCTGGGGAGGGGGTATCATTCTGCCTGAGGTTTTAGGGCAAACAGACCGGGTCTTCTGCCCTCTGCCTCCTCCCTCCTTTCCCTCTCCCCCCTCCCCCCTTTTTTTTTCTAGAAATAGCAGCCTCCTCCATCTGGTTTGTGCAGATGCCTGGAGCTGCGTCTGAGCAGACAAACAGCAATGGGCTGATGCAAAAATGAATTTGTTACCCTGGTGCCTTTTTTCTTTCTCTCTTGCCCTCCCCCTTCTCTTAGTTTGGGGCCTGGACATCCAAGTCAGCTACCCCTCGTGGCGCTGGTAATCCCAGGCTCCTGGTGGCCTAGCTCGGAAAAGGTCCAAGGCGACGGAAGCTCTTAGAGGCTTGGGAAAATGGTCTCCCATGGCTGCAGTCAGGAGGAGTCAAGAGGAGAGGTCCTTTGTGCTTTGGGATGGGGTGTCTGGGCTTGTAGCTTTATGATGCAATCTTTGGGTGCTGATCTCAGATTGGGGGCAATCTCAGGTTCACAGAATTTGGTGCAGACAGTTCACCTGGCCGCCTGTGACCCGGGGAGGGGACCCCGGCCACAGTGCTCAGAACTCAGGCCTGCCTCTAGCGGGGCTGGAGTTGGTGTATTAGGAGAAGGCTGGCAGGTGATGTTGGAGTCCAGGCACCAGAGAAGCCCTCAGGGGGACACCTGACTCCCCCTGAATTCCTAGAGGGCTCTTGGAGGGATAAGATCCCTGCAGGGCAGCACTGTAAATTTGTAGTCTCTGGGCCATTTCACTGCTCCATGTTTCTCTCACTTGCCCACCCTTCTTTCACCCTCTGCCAGAGTCTTCACTACCCATGAATGGGGTTGGAGGGGGTCCCCCTTAGGGTTTTTGCTGTAACTCCCCTGGCTTAGCCATGAGCTCGTAGGGGCAGATGCTTCCCCCATGCCTTGTCCTGCTGTCCTGGCTGGAGGTTGTA